CGGGCGGGGAAGGCCTCGTTCTAGCTGAGTAAGGGGAGCAAGTCTCGGCTCTCCACCTGGCCTTTGTTGACAGGGTAGGGTAGGGTTGGGGCCATGTTTTTTTCCATGGTGTATGGCTAGAATAGGGCGATTACTGTGTGAAAGTTCTTTAGCTTGAGAAAGCAGGCTTTTCTTGGCTTTTGTTGTCGCAGCCATTGGTGTTTCTAGGCTGCTGGTTTCACCAGCACCTAGTCTGGGACAGATGAGACAAAAGAAAGCCCAGGGAACTCACTGCTGTTATCACTTGGGTCCCAAGGTCCTCAGCCAATCTGCTGCCTTTTCATTTTTCAGTGTGTTTATTTGATAAATGTCTAGGGTTTTAGCTGTGCTTAGTGGGAAGAATAGGGAAATGTGTGTCTACTCCATCTTGTTCCTCCTGGGGGTTTTTGCTTTTTTTTTTTTTTTTTTTTTTTTTTTTGGAGATAAAGTAAAATAAAGGCAATAAGATGTTGCAAATATTTCCTAGTTCCAGCCAGACTCTGGAGGGGGTGGATGTTAATTTCTTCTTTCCTGCAGCCATACATAGGTGAGCCTGGTCAGGATGTTTCCTGTGAGCTAAAGAGAGGGATTTTAGTTTAAGCTCAGGCATAGGAGTGCACCACCAGGGAAGCCCTGGGGTTTTTGCTTTTTAAAGTTGACAGTAGGAGAACTCCCTCCTGTGTATTTTAGATTTAAGCAAATTAGTAAATACACCTCGGATTATGAGAGCCAGGTTTCTCTCTGTTGGAGAAGGAGTGACAAGTATGGGAAGGAGGAAGTCTCCAGTGAGTGAGTGAGTGTGTGTGTGTGTGCGCATGGGCGCTAACACTAGACCACTGAATGTAGTTTAAAATTTCTTGAGGTTCCTTTTTGCCATCCACCAAGGATGTTGAGTCCGAACTGTTTGAAAGTCACTTGAAATATTTCTTCTCTGTGTGGTTCATTTGTTTCAATATTTTAAGAAGTATTTTAAAGATTTTTTTCTTTGTGATTTTATTTTTAAATTATGTAAAAACAAAACAGCATGATTACAAAGTCAAAAGTGTAAAACAAGGTACATTCAGAAAAGTACAGCTTCCATCCCTGTTTCCTACTTACATCCCCATGCCATCTGTTTACTTCCCCAAAGGTAACTACTTGTATTGATTTTAGTTATTCTTCCATTGTTTCTTTTTGAAAGTAGAAGCTAACATATGCATACATATACACATGCATATATAAAATTCCTTTTCACAAGTACAGACTCCTCAAATGTATGGAAGTCAGTTTATTTAACCCATTCTCTATCGATGGATACTTGAGTTGTATCTGGGTTGTTTACAGTTTTTTGCTGTTACAAATAGTGTTACATTAAATAACCTTACATAAATGGCATTTTGTATTTTTTGCCAGCATACTTTGGGATAAAATCTTAGATGTGGGATTGCTGCATAGAATGGTAAGTGTACGTGACATATTTCTAGATATTGTCAAATTCCCTCCCACAGGTGGTGTTTCATTTTGTCTTTACACCAGCAATTTAAAAATGCTTATTTCCCCACAGCCTTTTGAGAAAATAGGTTCTCAAATTTAGGGATTATTGCCAATTTGCCAGAAGAAAAATGGTATCTTCCTGTAGTTTGAATTTATATTCTTTTTTTTTTTTTTTTTAGTGTGTTTGAGTCGCTTGCATTTCTTTTCTGTGAATACATAATATCTTTTGCCCATTTTTCTATTGGGTTACTGTTTTCTCAACTTTCACTCTTTAGAAACTAAGGATATTAACTTTTGTGATTTAAATTGTAAATATTTTCCCATTTATCATTTGCTTTTTGCTTTGCTTTTGGTATTTTTAGACATGCAGAAATTTGTTTTCATACAGTCAATTTTCCTTATTCTATAACGAATCAGGGTTAGGTGAGTTTCTCCACTTCTGGGTTATAAAAGAATTCACCCATGTTTTTCTGCTAGTGTTTATTTGATGGTTTCATTTTTACATTTAGATCTTTTGATCCAATTGGAATGTATGGTGAGCAGTTGATCCCATTTCATCTTTTTGCATATGGCTATCAGGTTGTTCCAACATCACTTTTCAAATGTCTTCCTCTCCCTCCCTGATTTAGATGCTGCTTTACCATAACCAGATTTCCATATGCACGTCTATATTTTCATTGCATTGTCTCTTCATGTGCCAGCACTTCATTATTTTATTTACAAATATGTTTTAATGTCTGTAAGACTAGCCCCCCTTCCTTACTCTTCCTTTGCAGTGATTTCCTAGCTATCTTTGCTTATTTCTTCTTCCAAAGGAATTTATAATTAATTAGCTTGTCTAACTTTTAAAAATCACATTAAATTTCACTCAGGGAGAACTGACATCTTTATGATGAAGAATCTTGCCATCCAAGAACGTGGTGTGTCCTTCCCTTTGTCCACTTCTACATTTGTACCTTTCACTAGTGTGTTTTAGACCTCTCATATAAGTTTTGCAGATTTCTGGCTCACTCTGTCCTAAGTAGTTTTTGTTTTGGTTTGCTTTTTGCTATTATAAGTATTGTCTGCTCTCCATTACTTCTTCTAATGGTATATGCCTTTCATTATTAAATGAAATGTGATCTATGATACAGAGGCATGTTTTTAATATTTTCAACTCCCACTTTTGAACCCTGGATCGTAAAATGTCAGTTTTTCTGTACACATTCCCGACAGCACTTTGAACTGAGCAACTGCTGAAGTCGGCGGAAAGACAAGCCTGGATGGTGGACAGGTTACTGAGGAGGAGAGGCTCTTCCCGTGGGTGGAGGCTGGAGGCTTTTCCCATCATCACCCTCTCACCTCCTCCTTGAACGCCCCCCAACCCCTTCATGGGGCCTCCTGTGGATACAGCATCTTTTGCCCAAGCCTCCCAACAAGCAGTATAAACGCTGCCTCGCCTGTAAGACCAGCAATTGGTAAGTATTTATTCATAGTTTTCATACAGACAAACTGAAAACAGCAGAGTCAAGCAGCCTTCAGAAAGCCCTGTGGAACTGCTGTCGACGGAGCATCGCCCTGGCCTTCGCGCTGTGCCAGAGGGCAGAGGCCGCCATCGGTGCAGTGCTGGCTGCTTCATGTGGGTGTCATTCAGTTTAGCTTCATCTTTGCTGAATGCAACTTCACCAAAACTGGCAGCAGTAGAACCTGTCTCATCAGATATTACTAAATCCCTGGATTGGTGAATGGGGAACGGTTGGAAGGAAGAAAAGCAGGGGGAAGCCAAATCTCGAAAAATGACAGTAAAATCTGTGATTTATTTGAAAGTCGTACAGGTCTTGTCAGTATAATTCAGCACAGTCCCTTAAACCGTCATTAACAGTAGAATCATATACTTACTCCAGAACCTGATGGCTACAAGCTCAATGCAAAATGCTAATGCTGGCATTCGTCCAGGGCTTGCTTTTACTGTATCTTCAGCTAACCTATACACTGGCCAAATGGCAGATCTTCTTTCTGGAGCATAGCTCACACCTCCCCTGCTGAGGCCAGTTTTCATGTTTTTTCTAATTGCAAGGCAGTCTGCATCACGTCTGAAATAAGCCCATGAGGTCACCAGTCCACCAAGAGGGAGGAGTGACCTGATTGGCCTCCTGGATTCCTCCTAATCGGTCTCTCTTCTACCTCGTTTTAGCACCGCTGCTTGGAACTCTTCTAGTCCAGTATTACGTAAGCCGCTTGTGAGCAGAGACCATACAGCATCTTAGTAAAGGCGCGTGGGAGTCCTACTGCCATTTGTTGGCTGTGATCGCTCTTCTGCAGTCTTCATGAATCTGTAATTCTTACAATTCTAGTGAAGCCCTTTCTCCAGTCACTGCTGGGCTGACTCATGGGGTGTGCTGGGAACACTTGCTCAAACAGTGAAAAGTCTCCTTTGCCTCTGATGATGATGTGCATCCTCCAAGATGTCTTCCAGGTCATTACTGGGAGTCCGTGGCTGAATCACAGTGATCACTGGACACACAGGAAGTAGTGGGCTGCAGGTATACGGCATTGCTTCAAGGAAAGAAAGGACAATGTCTATTGCAAGGACCGGGTCCCGGCCTGTTCACAATCAACCATAAAGGCATTAAGAAGTCCATGGAAATGTGCTTAACTGGAAAAAATACCCAAGATGGCTGACTTTGAAACAGAAATCAAGGATCTTTTCACTACCTACTATTTCCTGTCAGTTGGGTGAGGAAAGTGTCTTCATACAAATTGTACATAAAAAGTTAGATTGGCCTTTTCAAAGCGAAGCTGGCAGGTTTCTGGGTTTTGCAGGCTCTGGCGCTCAGCGGGAAGGAAGGTCTTTGTCCCCTTGCAAGACTAATAAAACCTACAGGTAAGATTCTCCACTATGTGGTGAAGTTTTGTGGAAAGAAGATGGGTAAGGGCCTGTTAGCTTTAAACTAACTTTCCTGTTTCACATGTGCCTTTGTACATATAAATAAGCTTTCAAAATGTTTGGATTAAAGCAGTTATTTTGTATATCTTCAGTCAGGCAGACAGTTGGTGACTAAAACAAGAAACAAAAACAAGCAAAAAAAAAAAATTTCCAAGTGCTTTAGATACGTCCACAAGCTACTTAACATAGAGTGACCAAACGTAAGTGCTGTTCTCCCTCGGCATTCTGCGGTAACAATTAATTAAAACCCTTTTTGGTACTAGAAAACCTTCTCATTGATAGGGCTGAAAACTGGGGTAGGGGGGAGAAGAGAAAAGGAGATGAGAAATCAACATTATTAATACTGATTCCTTTTATTCTGTGCTTTGCTTCTAAATAGAGAGCTTTCAAATTAATTCTTATAAATTATAGTAACTTTCTGATGAAATTAATAACTTCAGCAGGGGTCACTGTGGTCAAATTAGAATGATCCTGAGATCACTGTATGCCCAAACGTGCAGCCAGCCCAACCTGGGGGCTGGCCTGCAGCCACAGGGGCGCACATGGTGAGGAGGGAGGCCGGGCTAGGAGGGGCTGATCACCTTCACTCCTTTTTCAGCTCATTGCTGTTCTCCCCACTGGGCTTGAACAGGGGAATCTGCTGGCCATCCTTGAGCTCTAAGAAGACCTCCTGAAGGTTCCACCTGAGAGAAACCAAAAGTATAGTCTCTAATCAATGAAACACTGAGGCAAAAGACAGACATGGTTTAAAAGGAAAAAAGCAGTTGTTAGGAATGTCCTAAGTTTTTTAAACACTATTTTATGTTAGCAGTATGTTAACGTTTTAACCTTCTGTTCCAGGCTAACATTATTTAACCAGCATCACCATCAAGGCAAGTTTTACCAATGAATGGCTGGCACCAGGGAAGAGGAGCAGCTCGCTCCTCCCCGTTTCCTAATCCCCCCGACCTCCAGCTCCAGGCTGGAAGCCGGCCAGCTCCTCCACTAATCCCAGGCTCAGGGGGGCAGTGAGTCCAGGGGAGCCAGGCAGGGACTGCCTGCTCCTTTTGTCCTTGAGAATTAAAACGCATCCTGGCTAAACAGCAAACATCTCTGAGAGAGGCTTCCCGTGGGGAAAGTGAGTGAGTATAGATACTGGCAACCAGACAAGAGAAGCCAATTAATGGGGTAGAGAGCTTATTTAAAGAATGTGACGAATAATTCTGGAACAGGACCCCATGCCTTTATTCATTTGTAATGACAGAGGCAGCAGTGTTGGAAGCTGCGACATAGCGTCAAGTTATGGCAGACCTAGACCACTACCACTGTAAAGTTCTTCAAATTCAGTAGCGTGCACTGGATAAAATGTCTGGACTGAGCTTAAGAGCCTAAGAAGCAGCATGCTGTCCAAGCTGTGAAACTTCTCAAGCTTTGAAAAACTAATTCTTACTGCCACAATCATATAACTAAAATTGAAAATGGAAATCGTTTCCATCAGAAGGTTCTCCTCCTGCTGCCTGATTCCCACCCACTTTCCCATCATACCTCTTAAAGGGGGCATCTCTGGATGAGGTGACATAGAGATAGCCCTCTGACTTGGGTCCAGAGACAGGAATCTTCAACTGGGGGTATAAAATGAGAGAGGTAAGTGTATATATATAGTGCTGTCCTCTCAAGAGATAACCTATGAAACCCAGTGATTATCCACAGAACCTGGTTGTTTTCAAACTTGAGGCTAGCTGAAGAATTCACCTTATTTTTTTTCCATCTGGCTCCCTTCAAATGCCCTGCCCCTCTCTGGATGGCCTGGTGAGGTCAATGGCAGTGCTCCTATCTGGCAAGGAGACCTTATGTGCCAAACTCAATGTTCTGAGTACTTGCAATGATTATTTTTTAAATCCACGGTTAAAAAAGAGCTACCAATATATGCAACAACATGGATAAAGGTCAAAAACATGTAGAATGAAAGAGCCTTACCCAAGAGTATATAATGCATGATTCCATGTCTTTCTTAGACCAAACTAGGCTGGGAAAAAAATGTCACAAAGTGCCTCTGCTGGAGCTGTGGGGATGTGAGAGGACCAACGGGGAAGAGCATGAGGCAGCTCTCAGGTGAGAGAACAGTCTACATGTAGGTAGGGGCTTGAGTTGCACAGGTGGATGCATTTGTTAAAATTCATCAGGACAGTTAGTTAGATGTGCACCTTTCACAGAATGTAAATTTTACCTCAAAAAAATATATTAAGCTCTAGTTAATGATAATATATGGCTTATGTATTTTAAAGGTGAAATGTACGGATATTTGAAAATAATAAGATAGGTTTCAAGAACAAATAAGGTAGAGCTAGACAAACAGGTATGGGATAAAAGCACACTGAGCAAAATATGGGTTCCACAGCATAAATCCTTTGATATTTTCTGTATGTTTGAAACTTTCATAATAAAATAGAAAAAGTCCACTGTTTAATAAAAGGGGGAACTATTTCTAGCAAACTGGTCCATACTCTGACTTGGACCATAAAGCAGTTCTAAGAGGAGAGCTGATAGCAAAACACACCCTCCTCAAGAAATAAAAATCTCAACCTAACCTACCATCTAAAGGAGTCAGAAAAAGAACAAAGTCAGAAGGAAGGAAATAATAAAGATCAGAGAAGAAATAAATAGATCAACAGAAAAGATCAGTATAACCAAGAGCTGGTTTTTTGAAAAGATAAACAAAATCAACAAACCTCTAGCCAGGCTCACCAAGAAATAGAGAGGACCCAGCTAAAATAAGAAATGAAAGAGGAGGAATAACAACAGTTATCACAGAGATACAGAATCATAAGAGAATACTATGAACAGTTATATGCCAACAAATTGGACAACACAGAAGAAATGGACGAGTTTCTAGAAACATACAGCCTTCTAAGACGGAACAAGAAGAAACATAATTTGAACAGACTGATCACTGCAAAAATCCCCTGCAAACAAAGTCCAGGACCAGACGGCTTCACTGGGGAATTCTACCAAACATACAAAGTATTCTAAAAAAGAAGTGAAGCGGAGGGAACACCTCAACATTCATTCTGTGAGGTCACCAGCACCCAAAACCAAATAAAGACACTACCAAAAAAAGGACAATTACAAGCCAATATCTCTGATGAATACAGATGCAAAAAAAACCTCAACAAAATATTAGCAAACCAAATCCAACGATACATAAAAAGGATCACACACCACGATCAAGTTGGATTCATTCCAGGGTCACAAGGATGGTTGAACATATACAAATCAATCAAATGTGATACACCACATTATCACCACAATAGATGCAGAAAAAGCAGTTGATAAAAATTCAACAACCATTCATGATAAAACCTTTCACCAAAGTAGGTACAGAGGGAACACATCTCAACATAATAAATACCATTTATGACAAACCCACAGCCAACATAATAACAGTAAAAAGCTGAAAGCCTTCCTGCTAAATTCAGGAACAAGACAAGGCTGCTCACTCACCACTTCTATTCGACACAGTGTACTGCAAGTCTTTGCCACAGCAATCACACACAAACACACACACGAAAAAGTACGTAGATCGGAAGGAAAGAGGTAAAACTGTCACTATTTGCAGATGACCTGATACTCTATATAGAGAACCCTAAAACCACCACACAAAAACTATTAGAATAAATGAATTCAGCAAGGTAGCAGGATACAAGGTTAATTTGTAGACATCTGTTGCATTTCTTTACACTAATAATGAAATATCAGAATGAGAAAGTAAAACAGTCCCATTTAAAATCGCTTCAAAAAACATAAAATACTCTAGGAATAAACTTAAGCAAGGGGGTGAAACACCTATATGCTGACAACTATAAAACACTCATAAAGGAAACGGAAGAGGATTCAAAGAAATGGAAAAATATCCCGCACTCTTGGATTGGAAAAATATTGTGAAAATGACCATACTACCAAAAGCAATCTACAGATTTCGTGCAGTCCCTATCAAATTACCCATGACATTTTTCACAAAACTAGAATAATCCTAAAATTTATATGGAACCACGAAAGACCCAGGATTGCCAAAGCAACCCTCAGAAAAATGAACAAAGCTGGAGGTATAACACTTCCAGACTTCAGGCCATACTACAAAGCCTCAAAACACCATGGTATTGGCACCAAAAGAAAAAGATAAATCAACAGAACAGAACAGAGAGCCCAGAAATAAACTCACACACCTATGGTCAGTCTATAACAAAGGAGGCAAGAATATACTACAGAGAAAAGACGGTCTCTTCAACAAGTGGTGCTGGGAAAGCTGGACAACTACATGTAAATAAATGATATTAGAACATTCCCTCATACTATATACAAAAATAAAATCACAAGATTTGAAGACCTAAATATAAGACATGATACCATAAAGCACCTAGAAGAGAACACAGGCAAAACAGTCTTTGACATAAATTGTAGCAATATTTTCTTAGATCAGTCTCCCAAGGCAAAAGAAATAAAAGCAAAAATAAACAAATGGGACATAATCAAACTTAAAAGCCTGTACACAGCAAAGGAAACCATCAACAAAACAAAAGGATAACCTATGGAATGGGAGAAAATATTTGCAAACAAACAATGCAACCGACGAGGGGTTCATACCCAAAATATACAAACAGCTCATACAACTCAATAGCAAAAAAACGAACCACCCAATCAAAAAATGGGCAGAAGACCTATATAGACATTTTTCCAAAGAAGACCTACAGATGGCCAACAAGCATATGAAAAGATGCTCAATATTGCTAATTAGAGAAATACAAATCAAAACCACAATGAGGTATCACACCAGTCAGAATGCTATCATCAAAAAATCTAGAAACAATAAATGCTAGAAAGGGTATGGAGAAAAACGAACCCTCCTACACTGTTGGTGGGAATGTAAATTGGTGCAGCCACTATGGAGAACAGTGTGGAGGTTCCTTAAAAAACTAAAAATAGAGCTACCATATGATCCAGCAATACCACTCCTGGGTATACATATGGAAAAAACAAAAACTGTAATTCAGATACATGCAGCCCAATGTTCACAGCAGCACTACTTATAATAGCCAAGACATGGAAACAACCCAAGGGCCCATCAGCAGACAACTGGCTTAAGAAGATGTGGTATGTATGTACACACACACACACACACACACACACACAATGGACTATTACTCAGCTATGGAAAAGAATGAAATATTTCCATTTGCAGCAACATGGATGGACCTAGAGAATATTATGCTTAGTGAAATAAGTCATACAGAGAAAGACAAACACTATACGTTATCACTTATATGTGGAATCTAAAAAATAATAAAAATGAATTTACTTACAGATATAGAAAACAAATTTATGGTTACCAAAGGGAAAGGGGTAAATTAGGAGTATGGGATTAACAGATACATACTACTATATATAAAATAGATAAGCAACAAGGATTTACTGTATAGCACAAGGAACTATATTCAATATCTTGTAATAACCTATAATGTAATATAATCTGCAAGAACAAACAACTGAATCACTATACGTCAATTAAATTTTTTTAAACAATCATCAATTATCCTTATCAGAATACTTGAGCACGAATTGCTTTGTAGTTAGGGGGAAAATATCTCTAATAAAACTATTTCCATTAAAAATAATAAAAACTGGGCTTCCCTGGTGGCACAGTGGTTGAGAGTCCACCTGCCGATGCAGGGGACATGGGTTCGTGCCCCAGTCCAGGAAGATCCCACATGACGCGGAGCGGCTGGTCCCGTGAGCCATGGCCGCTGAGCCTGCGCGTCTGGAGCCTGTGCTCCGCAACGGGAGAGGCCACAACAGTGAGAGGCCCGCGTACCGCAAAAAATAATAATAATAACAACAACAAAAATAAATAAACTAGGTCAGATCAGCTCACTCTTGTCCTCCAAATATTTCAGGGCTTCTGCTTGTCACAATTAAGTGCACACACTTCACAAGACAATGTCACAGCCCTCTGGTTGCCTCAGCCCATTCTCCCTGCCCACACCCTCCCTGGGCAGCTGCACCTCTGCTGAGGACACACTGGCAGGGAGCACAGCGATGGGCCTTCGTGTACAAACTGCTCAGCGTGACCTTCCCTGTCATCACAACAACCTCCCAGGCCACTAACCTCTCCCTCCTAGGCCTCTACTATGGCATTTGCTTCACCCTGTCTTATGCTGTAATTTTAAACTATAAACTCCCTGAAAGCCTTCTGCATCTCTGTATTCCCCACACAACTGAGAATCATTCCTCCAACTCAAAACATATTAAACAGAAGAAAAAAACACTTCTTATATTCAGTTGAGTTTTATCAGTTGAACTATAAAAAAAGATAAGATACAGCTGAAAAAATGGACTGGCATTCCATGGAAGCAATGTAAATAACCTTTACAACTAGAGTTTAGGTGTATTTCAAGTTCAAAGCTGAAATACTGGCAAACCACCACTGATCATTTCTCTACAACCTCCCATTCAAGATGGCGACCTGAGCACAAACAGGGCTTTCTGTGCCACATCAATTCCCCAGAAAGGAAAACAACTACATGAAAATAAATTAATCCATAAGGCTTTTTTTTTTTTTTTTTTGCGTTAACGCGGGCCTCTCACTGTTGTGCCCTCTCCCGTTGCGGAGCACAGGCTCCGGACGCGCAGGCTCAGCAGCCACGGCTCACGGGCCCAGCCGCTCCGCGGCATGTGGGATCCTCCCAGACCGGGGCACGAACCCGTGTCCCCTGCATCGGCAGGCGGACTCTCAACCACTGCGCCACCAGGGAAGCCCCATAAGGCTTTTTTAAACGGTGCTAGGTACCACCTAGCGGCAGTTGTACGTAGTGGATTTCCCCATCCCACATCTTTCTCCAGCTTCCTCCAAGACTGCTTCCGGAGGACGGCAGCCCCTCCTCAGCTCAGTAGACACCCAGCCTGCAGTTGGCAGGGGGAGCACGTTACCTTTGCATCAGCAATGTCCACGAAGTTGTACTTGTCGGTGAGTCGGAGATAGTGAACGTTGAGAGGAGTGCCCAGAGCTTCCAGTGCCTCAGGGTGGCTGTGTAGATGCTCCAACGCCAACTGGTAATAGGAAGCCCTGGAAAAAGTTTCTAAGTGGGCAAGAAAATGGTTACTTTTTTTTTTTTTTTAATTGAACTTGGTCAGGTATACATATCTCCCTAGAAAGTGAGATGATGTAATTCATGTACAACATGGAAACAGAAACATGAAATTTATGGGTGGAATTACCATTAGGGACCATCTACTCTGAACACTCCATTTTAAAGACTCCAAAACCAAAACATAGGAAGTCAGCAACTGCAGCGATGTGGCAGATGACCCTGAGCAAGGTACTGGACCTTTCTGTGCCTCAGTTTCTTCACCTCTGATTTCCTCACCTCATTCGTTGCCTCTCTCCATCTAAGGGGTCTGATCAGATCTCCTCTAACTTTTCTTTCAGTTCTAAGTCCTCTGGTTCCATGACTTGCTCAAAGTGATACAGCTAATCCGAGGCAGAGCTGGGGCCAGAATCTACGACTTGACTTCTGAACATTGCTCCTTCCACTAAGAGGAAGGTCCTGATAAACCAGCAAAAAATAGACCACAACAACAACAAAACCCTCAGGCCACGCAACAGGACATGAAAACGCTAACTTGTCAAGTTTATAGATGTATGCCAACATTTCATGTAGGTAAAGCTTACAAACTGCTCTCAGCCTCAGGTATCCTTGGCCCAAAGGCTACTAGGAACTCCAGGAAGCACCTCCCTGAAAGTGCAAGGTGGGACAAGCCGCCCCAAGGAGAGAGTGAAGGACGGTAAGCTTCCCAAGTAAGGTTTTGTGTTCGGCAACAAGACAGACTTCCCTCTGTAGGCCCAACCACAGTAATGGACTGGAAAGGCGGCTTGAGCCTGCAAAGGCCAAGGAGAATGCCCCTCCAGTGCCGCTTCCCAGGAGAGGGGATGCTGCAGGCATGAACGAGGTGCCAGCCCTGAGGAGAAGCAGAGCCTGGGTCCAGACAGTTCATCTTCACTGAGCTATTTCTCAGTATCCCACAAGGTGTGAGATTAATGTTTACAACATCCTTGCACACAGGCACTGATATTACCCCTCGTCACATCGATAACTGAGGCCCAGGAAGAAGCCAGACCCCCCCATAAGGCCACACAGCTAGTCTAGAGCCGGAGTTGGCTGCAGAGCCCACTGGACTATCGCTGTCAGCCGACCCCAGCCTCCTAAAGGGGAAAGGCTGCCAGGCCCCTGAGCCCAAAGTGTACTCATTCCTGTCAGGTCCTGCCTCCGTCCCTCTGGCAGAGGGGAGGGGCTGCTGAGTTGTTCCGGTCTGAATTATCCCTGGGAATGCTCCTCTCTGGCCACCACCAGACTCGCAGGCCTCTGGGCCCGCCCTGAAGGAAGGTGGGAAAGAGCGGGCGGAGGGGCCGGGGCTGCGGGTGATCCTCACATCCTGGCAGGAAGTAACAGTGCTGAGGAGTCAGGGTGAGAAGCCAAGCTGGGCGGGCATAAAAGATCTTCAAAGAAAGTCAGTCTAGAGAAAACTGCTGCTGCTGCTTCGCAACCAGTAGCGTGGAAATGCCCTTAAATGTCTCGGCTGCTCACAATAAGGCTGCTCACAATAATCAATGCCTGTCTTTACAAATTCAAATTTGGGTCCAGAGGGCTGGAAGCTGCATCTGCCAGGATTTTGCCAGCCTGGACACTGCTTTTATTTTCTGCTCTTGCCAGAGTCCGCTGCGCAAGGTCCCGTCCTCCACTAAATCAACAGCAGAGAATGGCAAGGCAAACAGGCCGAGGACACTTGAGAAAGAGCCAGTTTTCCACACCTGTGAACCATCTGGTGTTCCCCCTTCCCTCTGTTCTTTCTCTAATCTCAGAAATCTTGATGGATCTACTGCATGTGCACTGGAGTGAAAGCCCATCTTGCTTTTCTGAGGCTTCTTATGCAAATGGATCCTATTCCTTTGATTTGTTCTTGTGGCTCCTGGGAAAACTGGGATTACAGGATAAGAAGGAAGCTATAGCCAATGGAATGGCTTACTGGCTTCTAAAAATAGTCCTTTCCTTCTTTCTCTAACCTGCATCTGAAGTATTTCCTTTGACGGAGGAACGGGGGCAAGACAACTAGGAGGCGGCCCTGCCTCGGGCGCTTCATCGGATACTTACTCTGTATCAGGTAGTACAAAAGGGCGCAGCCCCCGCTAGCCACCACGCCAGTAAAAAAGACCTGTTTCCCCAGAGGCACTGACATCCTGCTTCCTAGAGACTGAAAAACAAAAGATGTGAATTTATGGTTAGATTCAGGTTCATGCCAAGCGCTGCTGCCTGGATTGGACCCCACAGGGAAAGGAAAGCTAAGGAGGAAGCCAGCAAGGAGGCGAGACCGCCTTCCCTTTCAGAACGCCAGGGCCGGTTCTGGAGCCCAAGCCAAAGTGCCCTCCCAAGGGTGGCCTGCATCCAGGGCCCAGGCCATGGGGGTGAGGGCTGAGCACAGAGCCGGCATTCAGCCCTGCTCTCCTGAGGGACAGAACGCAGCCTGTGTGCCAAGTCCCGCCCGGCCAGGAACTACAACCACTTTGTCTCACACCGTCTGGTAAACAGGAAGCTTATCCTTTTGTTGCAATAGCTGGGCCTGTGAGCCTCCGAATGGGCCAAAGCGGTCTCTGGCTGCTTTCTTTCATATTTTGAAAAACGTCCCACCCCCTGGATGAGGACACAGTGGTCCTGACTTTCAGGCTTAATGAAGAGATGGAGAGGAAGGAGACAGCTCAGCAAATTCAGGGCACCCAGCCCAGCCGGCCTAAACTCCTGTCCCCTGAAAGCCAAGTGGGACTAGAAGCAGCACGTGGGTCCCAATGGCACCAATTATTCTCCTTCCTGGTGGCCTTTTAACCACCGCTCACACCTAGGCCTTTCTGGAAAGTGTTTGATACCTGGCCATAAAGCAGAGGAGGACACCGGCTTAGGTGAGTCACAGTTCAAATGCACGCACGGCCAGACAAATCACATAAACGAGAAGACCCTGAGAAGTGAGGAACACACGGCTCGGCCGACAGGCAGCTTCAACCCAGCTCCAGCTAACTTCACCATGCGGGCCAAGCCTGGATGGATCTTCTGATTTTTCAAGAGGTCTTTTATGTAAAATTGCCTGAATTCTAAATGTTGACAGCCAATTAAAAAAAAAAAGACCTAAAAGAATATGCTTGTGAGTCAGGTTCTCTGTGGGCTTCCAGCTGGCTCCACCCACGCAGGCTGCATCAGGGCATCCTCTAGGTAAGGTAATTCCTCTGCTCGCTTTGCTGACATTTCTCAAAAAAATATAAAAAAAAGATCTGGGGCAGAGATGGAAACTCCAGGTTTACATAATGGAAAGATAACCATAAGTACGTATGTCCCCGTTTGCATATTTAACCTTAGATTGTATGTGTTTCTTTAGAAAACAAAGCCTTTGATGTGACCTAAAGGGGTGCGCAGTGCAGAACTAGGGATAATGCTAATGCCTCCACTGGCTGATCAGAGTCAAGGTAAACACATTCTCACTATCTGCTTCTCCACTTTCTAGAATATGGAGAGTAAGAACAACTGCCTACCTATCATCTCTGAAACCTGAAGGTAAGTGAATCCTGAAGGAAAGAAGGCCTGCTGGAGAAAAGTTCCTCATGTGGATACTCTTTCTGGGAACTGATCACTAAACACACCCTCCGACAGGGCTAAAGTTGACCAGTTCTACACAGAAATATCATCAAATCCAGGGTTTAGATAAATCAAATTAAAGAGGGTGAAGTTTCAGATCATCCCTGTATTATTTACTTATATACTGTTTTGTTCAACTAAGAAAAAGGTGCCGAACCCCCAAATCAATGTTCTCCAGCTGCTGTGGAAGTTTCGGCTGTGCTGCAGAGTAGGTAAGAGTATTTCTCAAAGTTGAGGGTCAAGTCAATTGCAGTGATGTGATCTGGGAAAAGCCATTCAGTCTCATAAGAAAAATGTGCAGAGCATCTCCAAAGAATGCATTAGTCAGATCTTGCTTAATCTGAAGAGAGCTCAACAGGGTGGGGCAGTGAGCAGGAGTTCCGCACGGCTGCAGCTGCCAAAGCAAGCATGAGAGACGAGGGAAAAGTCGTCCTACACAATTCAGCAACGAGCCACCCCATCCCCTCACGTGGCCTTGCAGCCACAAGTCAGCACTGAAGACCAGGTGAACCCACAACTATCTGGGGAGCGACGTTCATCTACTGTCTAACCTGAGCACACCCCAGAGGCTTCTGATGGGGAACTTGGCCCCAGAATAGCCATTACCTTTTGCCACTTCGTAGCCCAGCTTCCTTGAAAATCATCAAAGGAAAGTTGCCCTGCAATCAGACAAAAACTTTACATTAAAATCACTTTTTCAGGGACTTGCCTGGCGGCCCCGTGGTTAGAAGTCTGCGCTGTCACTGCTGAGGGGCCTGGGTTCAGTCCCTGGTTGGGGAAATAAGATCCCACAAGCCGCACGGCACAAGCCAAAAAATAAATAAAATCACTTTTTCAAACCCAATTCTTTCTGGTTTCTAGTTTTACACAGCCAAGATTTCTTACCAGTCTAAGCTTTAGAGCATGAAAGAAGTTAAGTTTAAGTTCTGAAAGGAGCCTTATCTATATAGGGCCCTGGTTGTTCCCTCTTACTCTTCTGCCATATTAAGAAGAAAAAACAAAGCCTGCTGGTTTCCTGTCTGTGTACCGTGCATGTTTTACTGCAGCAACCAGAAAACTGGTGTGGGCGGGAGATGGTATGGGACCGCAGCACATATAATGGGACCAGTCCACAGACACCGACAGGAGATGCTACCCTTGTAAGCTGTACTCCAGTGGACTAAAACAACATCTCAGGATTAAAAAGAAACAACAGCATATTAAGTGCATATGTAGCCTTTTATGATACTGATAATAGCTAACACTCATATCTCTTGCTATTATGTGCCTGGTGGTATTCTAAGCGCTGCACATATAAGAGTTCACTGAATTCTCACAACCCCATGAAGTACGAACTATTGTTATCATCCCCATTTTACAGACCAGTAAACTGAGACACAGAAAGGTTAAGCAACACACCCAGAGTCACACAAATAAGTGTGTAAGTGGCAGACCTGGGATTCAGACCCAGACAGTCGAGCTCCAGGGCTGTGCCCTCACCCACCATTACACACTGACTAAGATATCTGTGATTTCAGAGACACTGAGATGTGAAGAAAAAAAAAAATGTCTTGGCATTACAATATATTTATAACGTTCAGTGCAAAGGGCCTTGTCAGGTGTGCCTTCCCTGCTATTTTTCCAGACAAAAGCGTGGCAGGTATTCACACCTTTGCTCTTCCTTTAGCTTATTAGCAAATGGTTGTTGAGGACCTGCCCTGGGTCAGACAGACGGTGCTGGGGATACAGACAATTCACACAAATTCCAACACAGACAAGGCCACGGAGCACAACTGCACAGTCAGGCACACCCACCCCTACACACACACACACACACACACACACACACACGGAACCACTCACAGGGTAAACAGCCTAGACTCACACGCTCATTAAGACGGGTTTCCAGCAGTTGGAAGTTGTATAAAGTGCCTTGTTCTAATTTACACAAAGGTGCCCACGGGCGAGCAGCCCAGTTAGTGTGCCCCCATGTGTGCACCAAGAGAGGAAGCAGCACCCAGGAAGTGGTCGGCCCTGCCTGGAGGGGATCAGCGAAGGTTTCACAGAGGAAACCGACTCAGCAGAAGGAGGTGACGGGGTAGGAAGAGGGCTTCAGATTTGCAGAAATGACGAGCAGAGGGAGAACAGAGGAGCAGAAACGAGAGCTGCAGAAGTACGGGGAGCAGAAGGGGAGCCACAGGAAATGGGTCTAGAAATAGAGGCGGTTACTGCTCAGAAAGGCCCTCTACGCTGCGCTGCTGGGTCTGCTCTGCAGGTGAGGAGCCGCAAGTGGGAGGAGAGGGGTGCAGCGCGAGCAGCCAGGTGACTTCTGCGACAACTCAGACCAGCACAGTAAGGCTCGATCACGAGGGTGGTTTCTTAAAATATTTAGGACCTTTCCTATATATTTGCTAATTTGTACACCAACTTCATCCAAAAAGGATGATGGGGCTAACAAGGACATGCACATCAGAAGTAAATAAATGGATGAGGAAATGAAGACAAATGGAAAATAATTTTAAGAAGAGAAACACAACTGGGGTAAAGTTAGTGTCCCAAATTACACACTGTCACGCACTAGACATTTCCTCAAGGTGGCCACGGATTTGACACTGAGCTTCCTATCTGCTCAGCAGAAAAGGCAGCCTCAGCATCTACAAGGTCCAGAGCATCCATGGAGGAGTACCACACCTGCTAATAACACACCAAGCCTGAGAAAGATCTCTCCCACACATGTTCAGAACGGGAATCTCTCAAGTGGCTGGTGTTACAAACAGCATCCCCAGATTTTTCTCTTTAAGTTCATAACTTTCAAATGACTATTTTTTTTAGTAACATTTCATAATGAAAACCACAGTCACAGTCCACGAAAAAAACATAAACAGAATTTTACAAGTGTCCCAAGCAGTGAGGACTCAGTAGGAAGCTCTGCTGGGCTACCTTGACTCCGTGGAGAGGTAAGGCAGTCGTGATCGACCTGCGAGACTCCATTTGCCAAAGTGGGGTGAAGGGACTGGGGTGGGAGGCGAAAGGGGACTCAAGTCTCTACTCCTGTTTAATCAGCTTCAGTTTACCTGCTCCGTCAGCTAGCTTTTGAATAGAGTGTTCAGCCGG